ATAGCGCAAAACCACTCGGCGAGGTTTGCGGAGGGTCAAGACTCAAACTCCTAGGCCGCGGGCCAGCGGGCCCGGCTACGCTACGAGTGATTTCCCAGAACAGCCCCCAACTAGAAGAAGGTCCAGTGGACCCGGGGGAAACGTCCAAAGCAGACTACTTGGGTTCCTTGGCTTAGCGCAGTCACTCGGTCTGCCGATTGTTTCCTTGCTTCGCTCGCAAGTCCCGGATCACAGTGCAACCGATCCCGATTGGATCGTACTCAAGAGCTCGCAACCTGCTGCGCAGCTGCAGTACGTTAACAGGCACTATGGCGGGTTTGTTGCCTTCGGCTAATAGCTCGCTATGCAACTGCTTCGAGCTACGACCTTTGAGAGTTTGAGTTTGAGTGTCCACAGCTGCAGTCGAGATGACGTGGAGCTGTACAAAAGCAAGAGCAAACGACATGCAATTGCTACGTCACTGCATCACATGCTACAATGATGCTTGCTGCAAAATGCAACCTACACACAACGCACGAAGCGAGGGGACATGTCTTATTGCTTAAAACCCTGTTTGGATCTTAGGGTTTGGGTGGTTGGCCCCAGTCTTATCACACAAACACAGGCGCTTCCACTTCTGCTACTGCTACTGCTACTGCTACTGCTACTCCTTCTGCTCCTTCTCCTACTACTACTACTACTCCTACTACTACTGCTTCTACCACTACTACAACTACTACAACTACTACTACTACTGTCACAACAACTACTACTTCTCCTACTGCTACTGCTACTGCTACTCCTACTACTACTACTACTACTACTACTACTACTACTACTACTACTACTACTACTACTACTACTACTACTACTACTACGACTACTACAACAACAACAACAACTACTACTACTACTACTACTACTACTACTACTACTACTACTACTACTACTACTACTACTACTACTACTACTACTACTACTACTACGACTACTACGACTACTGCTACTTCTTGGCGTCGCGGGCTTAATTGATCGCAGGGTGTTTTTGGCGTGAATTTGTTGTGCAAAGACACGAAAACATCGGTATTTACGGTGTTTCGTGGCTTTGGTCGGTTTTGGACGCGAAAAATGGACGTGCAATAATCGCGGAAAACTACTTTGAACCACTTTAGGCGCCAAAGCAAAACATCGGTGGTTACGGTGTTTTCGGGCTTAAAAACGCGTTTTTACGCGCGCTAATTGGAACGGACGCGTTGTCAGAAAAGAAGTCAACACCGGTGTTACAGCGTTTCTCGCGATTTTTGGGCTTGCACTGGAGATGTGCGGCTTGGGGCTTAAGGGTAGAGATCTTTCGGGTTTAAGGGTAGGTTTAAGATCTGAGGCTTAAGGGCAGAGACGTTTTGGGCTTGCACTGGAGATTTGGGGTTTAGGGTTTACGGGTAGAGATTTTTTGGGTTTAAGGGTAGGTTTAAGATTTGTGTTTTGCACAGCACGTAATTAACCCCTCCCCCCCCACCCCCGCCCTCCCCCAACCCTTGGGGCTTGCTTCAGGCTTTGGGGTTTAGGGTTTAAGGGTACAGGAGTTTGGGGCTTGCTTCAGGCTTTGAGGTTGCGGATTCCAGGGTGCACGACTCGTGGGCTTGTTTCAGGCTTTGGGGGTCAGGGTTTAAGAGTAGGGGGTTTGCCTGTGGGGTTTGGGGTTTAAGGGTTTAAGGGCAGAGGGGTCTGGCCTTGCTGGATCTTTTGGGGTTTAGGGTTTAAGGGTACAGGAGTTTGGGGTTTGCTTCAGGTTTTGGGGTTGAGTGTTTAAAGGGTACGCGAGTTTTTGGGTTTGCTGAGGATTTAAGGGTGCAGGATTCTTGGGCTTGCTTCACGCTTTGGGGGTCAGGGTTGAAGGGTAAGGTCCAGGGGTATGGGGCTTTGAGGTACACAGCGTGGTAATTTGTTCAGAAAGCCCCAAGCCTTGGAGCCTGTGGGGCTTTCAGGCACCGCCTGGTAATTTGTGCGCAAAGCACAGCGCGTAATTAACCCCCCCCCCCCCCGCCCCCAACCCTTGGAGCCTGTGGGGCTTTCAGGCACACTGCGTGGTAATTTAGCACAGCAGTAATTAACCCCCCCCCACCCCCCCCCAACAAAAAATGAAAGAAGAGAGGACAAACAGAACAAAAAAACGAAAAAAACAACAAAAATGACAAAAAACAGCAAACAACACCATGATCAGTTAAAACCGTGTCCCTTACTACTACTACTACTACTACTACTACTACTACTACTACTACTACTACTACTACTACTACTACTACTACGACGACGACTACTATTATTACGATTTTGACTACTACTACTACTACTACTACTACTACTTCTTCTTCTACTACTACTTCTACTGCTTCTACACTTCTCAGGCCTCAACAGTGGCGGACTCCTCGCATTCAGAATCCGTGCTGTCAAGTCAACTACTGAGAGCAGCCTACCGTCCTTGTGACCTCGCTCTTCACGTTCCATCGTCCCAGCGCAGCCCACTCAGCGAAGCCGAGAAAAGCGTTTTCATTGGGAAATCGGATGGGTCGTGAGACAATCGCATCCCGACCTATTGGTCGTGAGCATGGCAGCCCAGAGCGTTGGGTCACCGTGCATCAAGGATGCTAGAAAAGGCGGTGAAAGTCCCTGAATAGGATTATGGCAAATGCCAAATGGACATTCGTTCAGAGAGCCGGAGGATGCCATCGTTTGCTGTGCCGACAGCAGCTTCGCAAACGTGGAAGGGGTTAAGCCCACCCCGCCAGCCCGACCCCGCCGCCAACCCCGCCACCAACCCCGCCGCCAACCCCGCCGCCAACCCCGCCGCCAAACGCCCACCAACCAACCCCCCCCTCCAGCCCCGTCTGAGTGCATGTGGTTGCGATGGGATGCACTGCGTGAAACAACGTGATAATCAACCCTGCCACTGAGTGCAGCTACTGGCCATGTTGTGATGCACCATACGTTATTCTCAACCCCCCCCACCTGTTGTGATGGAGCGTGTGTGGAACATGTTTTAAGCACACCCTCCCATCACCTCCCTCGCCCTGTTTGAGTGGATGTGGTTGTGATGTATCGCTTGAAACAAGTAACCCGGAACAGGTGGGCACAAGTGACGGTGATCCTTTCCTCCATCCCCATCCGGGGCAGCCAGAAAAGAAATAGCCCTTTCATACCAGTACTGCCCGGGTTTGGCATCCATTAAAACCTGGAATGAAGTTAGCCGCCGAACAAGGGTATTTTTTTGGACAAAACCTCTATGATTAGTTCACAGGTCATGCGGTCGCTCCTTTCGCTCGAGAGAAGTGAGCGCGACAGCTGCCTGAATTTCCAAAATTATAAGGATTTTCGTGAACTAGCGAAAACCGTTCTCACAAAAAAACAGTTTAAAAACAATTGAGGCGCATCAAGTGAATGGCTTAACCGCGGAAACATCCAATAGCCTCACCGGGTTTTCTGACTGGCCTTTAATAAGGAATCGATGCTTTCGGTTGGCTTTGCAAATCAAGATTTGAGTCGGGGGCTTGGTCTGGACAGACTGCTCAAGCAAGAAAGAAAGAGAAAGCAGAGAAGAGAGAGAGAGAGAGAGAGAAAGAGAGAAAGAAAGAAAGAAAGAAAGAAAGAAAGAAAGAAAGAAAGAAAGAAAGAAAGAAAGAAAGGAAGGAAGGAAGGAAGGAAGGAAGGAAGGAAGGAAGGAAGAAAGAAAGAAAGAAAGAAATAAAGAAAGAAAGAAAGAAAGACATAAAGAAAGAAAAGAAAGAAAGAAAGAGAAAGAAAGAAAGGAAGAAAAAAGAGAGAGTTTTCGAAGGGCAGACCGTTTCACGCGGGAGAACAACAGCAGCCGAACTAGGCTGAGCAACCTGGATTCCACTGTTAAGGGAAGGCGGGTTCCAGTGCGGGTAAACACATGAGTACGAAGTGTCACGCGGACTCGCTGCAGACTGGGCGCGCCTAGTGCGCGGGGCCCGGGCAAAAGGGGGTTCGCTCCCCTCAAGCCCCGAAGAAGAAGAAGAAGAAGAAGGAGATGGAGAAGGAGGAGGAGGAGGAGAAGAAGGAGAAGAAGCAGAAGAAGAAGAAGAGAGGGAGAGAACGCGCGAGAGAGACAGGCCCAAAGCAGGTGCAGTCGGATCATTCCATGGTCTGTTTGCAGCTGTGTTGCTTTTGGATGTCCTTAACCCGTGACATGTTCACACAAGACTGACTCGGTAACGCGTGTTTTCGGGTCCCTTCGGGGATCTCATGCGCTGGAAGGAAGGAAAAGAGTGAGAGAAGAGAGAGAGAGAGAGAGAGAGAGAGAGAGAGAGAGATGTGCGCGGGGGACCCCCCCATGCCCTGCAGAAGAAGAAGAAGAAGAAGAAGAAGAAGAAGAAGAAGAAGAAGAAGAAGAAGAAGAAGAAGAAGAAGAAGAAGAAGAAGAAGAAGAAGAAGAAGAAGAAGCACGAGAGAGAGAGAGAGAGAGAGAGGGGCTATGCGTGCAGGAGAGAGGGAGAGAGAGAGAGAGACCTCGGGCGCGCCTGGAGCGCGGAGGTCTCCCCTATGCCCAGCAGAAGGACAGCGGGCCATCGCGGCCGGGGTTCCTGTTCGGGGGGGCCTCCTCGCTGGGTAGAAGAAGAAAAGAGCGAGAGAGAGAGAGAGAGAGAGAGAGAAGCAAACAAGGATAGCCTCTTATCAAGTAGCTGCTGAAGCGCAGCACTCTCTGCCAGACCGTTTTTGGGTGATTGAAAAAAGTTGGCAAGATATCGAGAAACTAAATATGAAGGAAAAGTCATGGCTAACAATTAACGTACGGGAAATCGTTCGCGAAACGAACTTTCGGGTTGAAAATCCGGCCGAAAAGTTTCTGATATTGGCACCCCTTTCAAAGGGCTGTGTGTTGGTAGTCCTTCGGGCTGTTGGTTTGTGAGCCGCAGAGTGTGACAACGAAAACGCGCCATGGGTTTTCGAAGTGCAGTGCATGATGATCCAAGGGGGCCGACCCACGTGTCTCGATTCGTGTGGAGGAGGTGCCACCATCGCCTGCTGTGAAAAACAAGCCCCGGTCGCCCTCACCGGCAGCAGCCGTGGCAAGTTCGGCACTGAGTTCGCCCTGCAATTTACGACGTGTATTGGTAATTTCATGTTACCGAAACAGGCACCACTGCAGCAGGGACACAGCAAAGCTGGCGGTCGCAAAAGGCTTGGGCACTGTGGACCAGAATTGATGTGGATGCCCACCATTTGGCGCAGGCTGCCCAAAAAGAAGGGCGTGGGGACGCATGCTTAGTTTGTTAATGTGTAGCAATGCTGCCTTCCGTTGGTTGTTGGGCTGGGGTGAACAAGGTGATAGCCGCAGCTGGCAAAACGGGCTATGCAAATCAGCCGCTGTCACCACAAAGCCAACCTCGTGGTTTTTGTCGGGGCCGTTGCATTGGATGAACCAGCATGTTGACGTTGATTTTTTTCTTTTTCTGCTACAAGCATGTTGTCCTTGAGGCTGTTTTCGGCGTCGCAGTTTGTGAATGTTTCACGTGTGACGAAGCTCACAGTAGGTTTCACTTGTGCATATGTGTAAGCATTCGCGAATGCCCCGAACAAGCTTAAGAAAGATCCAACATGATCATGGTGAGAAAACTTTACGCCAAGCGTTGTCTCACAGGTGAAGGGTGTCCAGAGGACAAAATTCGTGGAGAGCAACGGGGCGTGAAACAAAAGTCGCGTGCTGCTAAGGTTGCTCATTTGGACAGGATCGTTCTTTCCGCGTGTGTGTGCAACCAAGTGCATGGTAACGCATCGGAACGGGTGCGGGGTCGGTTTTTGCCTGTTTCGAACCCTGTGACGGACTTGGGCCAGCGTGTTGTCGATGATCTCAGTGTGCAAAATTTACTTGTATCCCAAACATCATGTTCAGCAGCCAAGCTGTTTCAGGAGCAAAAGGAAGTACAGTTGGTTTCTCGTTTTTGTCCATCGATGGGGTCCAAGTTCTATGGCCACTGCAGAGCCGGACCGCACGATTGCAGCACATGCACATGGGCCTGAAGACTGCAGCCAATCTTGTGAGCAACGTCTTTGATTCTGTTGGAGAGGACTTGTTGGCAAGCTTTGGTTGGTGTTGCCCAAGCCTCGACAATGGCGACATGACAAGTTTCCTATTCGGTTGTGGTCTTCTGTTCGCTTTTGACTTCACTTCATGTTGTAAAAAAAGGGTCTACGTGCGAGGTCGTTGTGTGGACGATGACGACAGGGCCCCAGCATGTGGCCAATGTGGCATGCAGAGCCAAGCTGCTTTGGCCAGCAAGGTCGGCAACCAAGTCACGTGTGTCACCCAGAGCTGGCTGTGTCGAATCGTTTTAAGAATTTCGGTCTTCCATGTTTCTTCACACCTGCAGGAAGCTGCCGGAGGCAAGTTGGACGATGAATGAGGATGGAGAGGCTAGAGACATGAACGAACAATAAGGTTACGATGCTCCTTAGCAAGAAACCTGATGCTGTCAGGAAGATGAAGAGGAAATCAGTTTCAGTCCACTTGTCAGAGTCCGTCCCGCTCGAGGCCTGGAGTGCGCGCCAGATACTGGAGTTCACACGTGTAGAGTTGCGCAGTGTAGAGTTTCGGAGGACGTGCAGTCGAAGAATGGTCAAGTCTTGGGAGGCTCAGGCACACGCCAGTTGCAACTAGACCGTCAGGTTTTCGTAAATATAGGATGGTTGGAGGGCCTATGTGCAAGGCCAAGCGTTGCGATCCTGCCACAGGCCCCGGGACCTGGACTTTTCAGAGCTGACTCGCAGCGGGCCGGGCATCAGGAAGCCACGAGTTCAGCACAAAGCTTGCTTGATGCCTAGTTCGTTGCTCAATGCAGGATCAGCAAAGTTGAAAAGCGCGGAATCACATTTGACCAGCTCAAGAAGATTCTCGTGCGAAGCTTGGGAAGGAAAACCTGGAGAGTGACGCAGAGTGTGGGTTGTGAGACAGTCCCATGCTGTCCTTGGTGCTAAGGTGTTTGTAAAGAAACGTCAGGCCCTGAGAGACTTTTGCTTTGAGCCGAATGCCAGAACGCACCCGTTCGAAAAGGACCGCGTTTGAATTCAGGCTGCGATGACGATGGCATCATCAGGGGGTGGTACGACAACAGGCAGTCTATCGTGCACCAAAGTCATCGGAGCATTTGTTCCGCCAAGGTGCTGCATTGAGCTAGTTTCGGCTTTTACTTAACAAGCACGGTTGCAGGACTGGCGAGCAACTCCATTACAGGAAGACTTGGCAGAGCGCATGTCGAGTTTTGGCTGGAATTCTGCTACATGTGGATGAATTTGCAAGGAAGTTAACGCTTGCCCAATTGCATTATTGGCTGATCGAGCCAGTTGGAAGCTAAGTTGCCAAACAGTCTTAGATTGAAGCCCTGCTAAGATGCAACTAGTGGCGCACATGAGTGTTTCAGGTAACAACGAGGCTTCAGTGCAGTGCGGGGCTTTGATAATTTGGCATCATCAGAGACCTCAGGAAGCGTTGTGAGTTTGAACGCTGGTTCAGGTTATGTTGAGGCGGTGGCCAAGGAGGACCCAGTATGGAGCGGGGTCAATATTGAGGGAGGAAAGCTGGGTCACGTTAGGAAACTCCCGGTGCAAGCCATAGGCTGTATGTCAACTGACCCCGCCTCAGGCCCACGTTGAACTGTTCCCAATCCATTTAGCAGCCCAAGCGAGACAGAAAGCAGGATGGAAGCCCATGCAGGTTTAGAGCGTGCCATCAAGCATGTGGTTGTTACGAGTGAGCAGCTGAAAGGTAGTCTTCACGCTCAGGACTTGATGAGGTTAGTGGATGCGGTATGTTTTGGCGCCCCAGGAGTATGGCCAGCTACCTGCATGGTTTGCTCAGATCTGAGTGTTTGTGCAGCAAGTGGCACCTAAAGAGCGCCGCGAACTTTTTCAGACGCTTGAAAATGGTGCCACTGAAGGTTGGGCATACTTGGCAAGAGCCATTAGTGGATTTCGTCCGCCGCGCAATGAAGCATGGAACGCTGCCTGCCTGCAAAAATTAGACCCGCTTTAGCTGGAGACGGAAGGAACCATCTTTCACTTGACTGGTTCTGCAGGTTGGGGGCAGGAGATGCTTTCTGGTCCTTTGCATTTGCGACACGCCACGAGCCTGGGCATTTACGGGCAACACAAGATGCAGCTTGACATCTGTGCACACGTAATGACATGATCGTCGTGGCCATTACGAAGACTTGATGAAGGCTGGAATGAATGCCAAGAGATGATGGTCGGCGCGTCTCCAAGTTTGAACCTCAGACGTTGGAAAGTTGGCCAGGCGGCTCATGTTTTGTAGGTTGAACATCATTGACTGGTTTTCAGAAGTCAATAATGGCTGGCAGGTGTGGAGTGCCTTCGCACACTAACTTCGCTCAGAGTCTGGGACTTGTGCGCTTGTACCCTCATGTGCCAGTACCGGAAGTAGCGCTCGTGAGCTCTCCCAGGTGTCCCTTGCTGGTTGTACTCAGACAAGCCTTGCTGAAGAATTGCAGCAAGGCCATGCCTTGGGGCTTCAACAAACGTTTCTTGCGTTGCTTTCGCTTACCGAAAAGTTTCGCTGGGCACAAGTCACACAGAATCGGCTCAATAGCGCGCAGATTATGAGTTCATGTCCTAAAGTCAAGCTTGCAACGGTTTGAGGATGAAAGTCATGGAGTCTACACGGTCATGGCAGGTAAAGCTTATCTTCTTGGATCACTTACTCTACTCGACAGGTTAAAACGAGATCGTGGCGGGCTAGGTCTTCTTTTAAATTTCGACAGCTTATGGATGATTTGCGGCCACGACTTGTGCAACATCTTTCTTTGCACGTGGCCTTGTCAAATCTTATCTAGAAGCTTGTAATGTTAGCTCTTAACAGCTGCTGTTTCAAGTTTCACTCCAGTCAACTAGAAGCACATCTTGAATTCTTGCCTGGCTTTGTATAGGAGGCTTATGGATTTTCGTCGCCTTTCATGGGCCCATTGCTCGCAGAGCATTCTCCTACCCCCCGACCAGCGAATTCAAAGCTTGGTAGCTCGGTCTGCATCACCAGCACTTTCTGGTGGTACTACAGCTAGAGTCAGCCATAGCACGTTTTCTGAAAGGTCCGAGCTTCCAGAACCGATTTTGAGCGACGCGTCGCTGGCTTCAGAACTTCGTGGCGCAGACACAATCAATTCGAATTGGAAGTGCATTTGCCGTGGGCGTCCGCTGCATTTATTGGGCTCGGTCTTGGCAGGACCCTTCTGGTCATTGGCATTGAGAAATTGGACCAAGAGTCGGTACAGTTTCCAGCCGAGGGAAAATGGTGTCGCACAAATGAAACACAGTGCAAGCTCCTTGCAGGAATGGCAGATTGAAGCGCTGCCTTGGGCTTCTGCGCAAAGCTTCGCAACCTGAACAACAGGAAAGCGATGCACCCGCAGACCTCACCTGGAGCATGGAATCGGGCGACATTCTTGGTGACGGAAGTGTTCTGAAAAGCCTTGTAGAGGAGGGCTCTGATCCGCCAGTTTTTCCGGTCTTTGGTGATGATTGCGTGACGCACTTCGTGGGCACCCTTCCGGATGGAAGCATCTTCAATGACACAATCAAGCGCGACCAGCCTTTCAAGTTTCAACTTGGGGCAGAGCATGTCTTGGAAGGCTGTGGGGAGGGAACAGCGGGAAATATCAGGAACATGCCCGCCAATATGCCTGGTGCAGTGGTTGCGATGTTGTGCTGATGTTGCTTCTGCGATGTTACCATTGCCAGGATTCGATGAAGGAGTCGCGACTATGCGAAAGGGAGAGTGCTCTGGCAGACCCTTCTGGTGATTTTTCTGTCGTAGATTCCACAGAGCTCACACAAGGTTCGGGACAGCTAAGGCGAGCCATCTTTCAGCTCTCACCCGAAGTTGCTTATGGATCTCTCGGTGCCCGTGACGAGCGGGGATGGCAAGTTCCACCAGATACGCCGGTGACTTTTGACATCCGCTTGCTGGACGTCATTAAAGCTTCAGAAAGCTCCGTGACATCACAGGCACGCAGAGCGTTTCCACCCTTAAATGCTCCTCACTAAGCCTTAGAATTTGAGGTTGGCCTTTGATGCCGGGATGGGGGTTGCTTGGCTGGTTGCACTAGCGTGAAGCCTGCTGCTGCAGAGAGTGGTTGCAAAAGCGTTAGATTTTCGTTGAGAGGAAAGAATACTGAGCTTTTCGTTTAGCAGGGTTTGCATCTACACTTCTTTAATCGCAAATCTCATGTTGGAAGTCAGCGAGTTTCGGCAACAGCTATTGTTCAAAGCTCTTAAACGGGTCGTGCGCCCCACCCCGTGTTTGTGCTGGGCACCCCCCATCTCGCCGGGCCAGGAGCGAGTGAGCGCAGCAAAAAAGAACAGTAAAGGCACCATCCCGGTGTTTGAGAGTCCCGAGTAGCAATGGGGGCTGGGCTGCGTTTGAACAAAGTGTTGCAACCTAAACCCGAAATAGAACATTGCAAAAGGGGGGACGCTTGCGTCCCGGCCCTTGCTCCCCCCCAACCCCGGGTTTTTTCTGAAGTTGTACATGCCTGAACCTACACGTCGGCGCGGAAGACACACAACCCCCCCTCCCTCCCAACAGCAGCAAAAGACACAGACACCCCCTTGCGGACGTGCAGGAACGCACAGCAAACCAAAAAAACCCGCAGACACGAGGGCCTCTTGCAGCAACAAAAATCAATTCTGAGATATTCTGATGCTTCGGAGCTCTTGTCATTTTGCTCGGTGGTCGTAGGGTGTGACTTTGTGCGTAGCGGACATGGCCACGAACAACACGTAGCCAAGGCCCGACTGCAACAAAAACGCCCACAGAGCCAAATATCACACGCTTCGGCCCTACCACTGAACGCTAAACCCTACGCCGGAACCGATAAAAAGTTGTTGTGTTGGGCTTTGCAGTTGATACTGGGGCCGTTCCATGGTGGCATGGTCTTGAGTCTCTGAGAGACGTTAGCCTTGGATGTGTTCGCATACAAGGCTTCTAAGGCAACCCGAGTGCCTAAACCACAAGCCAAATCTGCTCCGACTGTGTATTCAGGACGCTGCCCGAAGATATGGCAGGGAAGATGTAGGTGTTGGTGGAAAGAGTGCAGATGGGAGGTATACTTGGGAGCGCATCCTGCCTACAAGCATTCGGATCATGAGTTTGTACGCGTGTTTGCTTCTTTCTAACTGCGGCATGTTGGCGTGCACAGGCGGGCATCAAGGTGAGATGTTGCACTGCTGAGGCAAAGGGGCCGAGGTTCTGGTGATTGCTCCAGTTGCAGACGATGTTACAGCCAAAGATGTGAGCTACATTTTTCAAGAGAGATACATCTCCCTGGCGGTGCGTGGAGAAGCTTGTCACAGCGAAGCACTTGTGGCAGACTGGCCGCTTGTCAAGCAAATCTAAAGCTGAGGAAATCCTGCTGGCTGGTCGACCTGGCTGTGATGTCGCAGCAGAGGAATGCTACTGGGAGCTTTGCTCGGACTCAGGCAGGAGGTGCCTGCTCGTTCACTTGGTAAAGACGCTAGTCCTTATCAGGATTTTTCCCGCCGGGTTTGCGATTTTGCTTGTGCATGTGCTTTGGAATTGCAGTGCAGTGCGAAGGAAAGGCTCGCTCTCGGCCAGGTGGAGCTTTGGCAGCAAACCGTCTTTTTCTGGTTGCTCCGAGATGCGTCTTTGATTGAGGCCGGACAAGCTCATCACTGCGACGGATGGTGATGATGCAAAGATGCCTCGTTAGGTTTAGAAGAGCACCTTGCAATGTTCCATAATGCTCCTGACAGCGCCAGCTCCATCACACACCTTCGTAAAGCGGGGGAGGGATGGGCTCTCACATGTCATCGGTCTCAAGTGGATATACCACAGAAGCAGACGTGCAAAATACTGGTGTGCCCGAAGTTTTTCTCACCATGGCTAGCAAGCTGCACCGTTCCGCGAAGCTGCTTGCGGTCATCCCATTCTGCAGGGCTGCCTTCTCTGCATCAACTTACGATGCTGGACCTGCAGATGCCTTTGCCCCGGTAGGCCTAATAAGCACACATTCATCATCATTCATCTAATCTGCTCTTGCATAAGATGAACGCATCTGATGTGACCAGGTCCAGCAGCCCGAAGCTAGTGGACGCGCGATCGTTCGGGCAGGCCATCATTCTGATCAGGTTCGTGTCCAACTTGTGTTTTTCAGCATGCGGCAGGCAATTTCAGCACTTCGTGCGTTGACTGGCCTTCGATTGGGTTTTCGCAATTGTCCATCACTGGTTTCAGCCGGACCCCTTGGCAGACATTGATTCACTGTGAGTGTCTGTGAGTAGTGATAGCGATCTGCAAAGCCAAAGCCCCGGCGGCCAAAATGCAGCCATTTGGGCGGCAACATGTGACATCAGCTGACGTCACTGCTTTCAGTTCATAATGTCATAATGTGAACAGGCTGGCTCTCTATTCTGGAAGTTTCAATTGTGAAGTTTGCGCATCATCATCACGTGATCGCCATGGAACTTCCGCATGTCTGGTCTCCTGAGACCGTCCGACAACTGAAATGCAAAGACTTCCGTCAGCATACTCCCGGCGAAGAGAATTTTATCGCTTCCGCTCGAGAACGCAGAGCTGACGAATTGCGACGAATTTCAGCTCGCTTCGCTGATGGAGGCAGTTGCAGAGAACCTGCACAGCGCACCACGCGGAAGACCTCCATCGGTTGTTCCAGGCCTGATCCGCGCCTTCTCATTTCCAACAGAAGATAGTAGTGCGTGGAGGCTGGGAAGTACTATCAACGGGCTGACAACTTGCACAGGACTCTTGACTCATGAGACCTCAAGGCGCACTCCCTGAGACCTCAAGGCACACTCCCCGTGACCTTCGTTACATGGAACCTTGGGCGTGGGAACCTTGGGCGTGGGAACCTTAGCAATCAAGTCTTTTCAACAAACCCAGGTTGCAAAATCACTGAAAAAATCACTGAACCCAAGGTTCTGAAATCAATAAACCATACCATTGTCAACATTCGCTTCAATGTTCGCACGTCAACTTCACGAACTAGTTAGAATCCACCAGACCTCCGGAGTTACGGGCCTTCAGGCTTCCAGGTTTGCAGCTGGCCAGCTGTCACTTACGGCTCCACATTCCAGATTTTAGATATGCAAAGCTGGAAATTGATGCCACCGGAGTTTCAGGTACAGTAGCTTGGCAAAACTCGAAAGAGGAGGTGCTTTGCAGGCCTTCAAGAAGTTTGAATGAACATCTAGTAAAGCTTTGGCCAACAACTCTGAAAACCCAGAAAATCTGGACAGCTTAAAAAGCTAAAAGCCCACAAGATCTGGAAGTCTGCAAAGTGAAGACATGCGAAGGAGTGAGTGGAGCAAATGCCGGAGGGTTCTTGTAGCATCTTGTAGCTTTCTCCGTCTCCCGCGGGCCCGTGGGTGCTTCCAGTCCAAAAGGCATCTTATGCTTCAAGCCCCAAAGCACTTGTGGATAAACAGTGCCCCGACATCTTATCTGCATCGGTTGCTGGTAATAAGCATGTGACGAAGGTTTGTGCGACAAGACATAGGTCGCCATGGATTTTACATCTGCAGAAATTGGATTGAACTCAAGGTTCCAGGCGACAGGCCCATAAACATTCAGGAAGCCCAGGAAACGCTATTTGAATCCGGAAAGCTTCTGCGGAGTTCTTCTTTGAATATTGTAAAGACCGTGGAGTCGAGAGCGGCACTCATCGAGACTCCAAGAAAGCTTCCCCTGCCCAATCCATGTCTTTTCTACATCGCAAATGTGTTTTGTGTTTCTTCTGAGTGGTGCCCACGGAGCCCTCTCTGTTGCGAGGAGGTGGATCGCCACTTTAGGGATCTTTGTCCTCATGTTGTTTGGTGCCAGGGAGGGCCTGGGACCACAAGCTGTGTGGCTCTTTGCGGCGCGGCTCCGCTGCATGGACCAAGACCAAGACTCGCAGCATGAAGAACATCCTGGATTCTCATGGCCAAAGTGGAGGTCCACTGAGAATTTCGTGGCACGTTCCAGAACAGCTTGCATGAAGAAGGCTTCCAGTGGACACACAACATGCAGACGAGGGCTCCGTTCTGCTTCTCCAGGCTGAACCTTAGGGCTCAGTGAAATGGCTGGGTGTGTTCCGGCGAAAGGTGGCAAAAGTTGACAGACGAGACCACTGGTTTTGTGCTGACAGCATTGCTTGCATGCTGCGTTCGCCAACTTCCAAAGCCTTTGGCTCAGACAGAAAATGGAGAGAGAAATGGCGACAGAAAGCTGCGTTGATGAGCCGGAATGGCTCACATGTCCACTCTCCGCCTCCATGCACCTCGCCATTTGCCATCAGCCCTGGCTGCGGTTTGTTATAGACACCCTGCCTTGAAAAAGGTGGAAGCGGTCCTAGGGTGAAGTTTTTTTGGCAAGTTTGTTGAATTAAGCCTTTGCAGGAACTCGCAGGCTGCACACTGCCCTGGTGCCGTAGAAAACATATCCAGCTGTAGTGCAGAGTGTAAAGCGAGACCTGTCAGCAGCAGGTTTCGGGAGCCAGTTGTCAACATGTTTGGGAATACCTATGAAAAAGCCGCTCGGTTTTGCAGCTTTCCCCAAAAGCTCCAGAACACTGTTGCCTGTTGACGCTTGCTAAGTAGGTGATGAGAGCTCGTTTTTCTAGCACAAAGGCCATGTACGAAAAGGCGATTCAACATCGGCTGGTTGATCCGCTGACAAATCAGCCTCTGCCAGAACCAGATGGAGGTGCCTCGCTTTAGATTTTGTGATTCAACTTAGTGAGGGAGATGGCTGGGTATTCTGTTCAATGTCTGGACACGTTTACAGCCTGGTCCAACTCCTGCGGCTTCTTGTTCAGGGCCCGTTCATCCCAATCGTGTTGTGCGGGCTGCCGTGGAGGCTTTTCTTTCTTCCCATCCAGGCCGGCCTCATAATGCAGGTTTGTTGGTCTTGTTTGTTTCCTCGATGTCAGCTGCATGGAAGGGCTTTCCCAAAACCACCCTGCAAATCTTTGCAATGAACACAGGCTACGTGCCGCACGGCTGGCCATCCACTCCTGCGCCTGCAGCTCCTTGCGCAGCAAAGCTTGCCCGCGACTTCACCGTCGACAAGTGGGACCAGGTTCAGGCACACCACGGCGACTACTAGCGACCCCTTGCAATCGTAGATAGACCATGATACAAAGCAGGAGAACAGATCAGATTCGTAGCTGGTAACCTATGTCCACATGTGGGTTCGCGCTCCTACTTCAATCTTCCTGGCAGGGGAATTGTCGCATTGGGCTCTGCCTGTGGGGGTGCCTTCGCATGGCAATTTCCGTCGCCTTCGCCTGGCGATCTGCCTCCTGGCAAAGAGTAGCTCAACGCTCGAATGCTGATGCAACAACGCAACAATCATGTGTCTCAGAGAAGATAAGACGAGCGCACTATGCCACCCTCACTAGCATTGAGATACAACACTGCCTACACCCCCCCGGCCCCTTTCCCCACGAAAGAACAGAGAGGCTACCCAGCACCGACATGGCGACCAAGCAATTGATGTCATACTTGGTTTTCCCGTTTGGCTGGACCAGGCTTACTGTACATTACTGCTAACTCTGAGCTGCAGCAATCTGCATCGCTGGCTTTCAGGTGCTGCCGGAATATGAGCCCAGGAGCGAGCAATCCAAGGAGATACGGCATGTCAGCACAGTTATGGGCATCTCTTGCAGCAAGAAGCAGAAGTGAGACAAATAAGTTGATAGAACACGCTCCCCATCATGATAGGTAGGTCTGAGGAGCTTAGGTTCGCAACAATGCTAAAAGACTGACTTCTCAAGGGAAAAGCCGTGAACTTGCCAAAGGTAATAGTCTAAGGTTTTGACAACCTCAAGCTACTTACGTCACTTGGTGTAGGGTCGTGCAGAGCTTCCCGACACGTGTAGTATCACTCATAAACCACAGAACACGTGCCCTTTTTGGTTGCGCTTGGAGTCGCTTGTGTGCTGCTGCGCAATGGCTTGTGTAGTTCCGTTGCCAGACTGCATTGAAGGTATGGCTGCTGGGCTGTCAGCGGGTCGCATTGGTTGGGGGCTGGCCATTCGGTTGGTTCGAGCTCTATCGGGTGTATGGCCTCTGAGCCCGATCAGACTTATAGAGAATCCTGATCACGGCTTCAGAGCATGGCTGCGGGCGGCATATCGACTCACCTGTCCGATGCCCCTGAACTGGGGACACGTGCTTGGTGGAGAACTTTTACTGGGCCGCTTCTGGATCTTGCAGTTTCTTATCAAAGAGGCTGTTTGGGCCAAGTTGCCGAACTCAATCCTCTACGCTGCGAAATTGTGCAAGGAGGACCTTTCCCATGGTCTCGTGCAGCCCCTGATTGGGCACGCAATGATCATGACACCGCTTGCAATTTTCGCATGTGGTCACTTCGTAACCGGCTCAGTCGTGCAGTTCAGCATGCCAGCACAAGCAGCAAACTTCAGCAAACTACTTTGTTTGTGTTTGCTGTCTTTGGCATTGATGCTGTGGTAGGGCGCAAGTAAATTCACAAGCCAGGTTGTAGCCGGTCGCGAGATCGGATGGAAATGTGCAACTAAGCGCATGGACGAGCTTGAGCAGGACAGCTACTCTAATGTGGTTTGACGTGGTCACGTCTACCTGGTAGTCGGGCCTACAATAAGCTCTTGCGTAGTTTTGCGAATCCTGTGGTCGGCTGAAATGCAATGCTAGGGCAGGTTCGAGCAGACACGAACGGACCCCCGAGGCTTCGAGCACTTGTTATAGGAGCAGAGCTTGAGTGCATTCAAAGAAGTGCCAAAGTCCGTCAAAGCGCCCGAAGTCGTCGGTCGTACGTACCAGGTAGTAACAGGTAGTAACAAGTCGTAGCCGGTAGTATCAGGTAGTCACAGGTAGTAACAGGTAGTAACAGGTATATATTAACAGGCATAGTATCAGGTAGTAACCGGTTGTAACAGGTAGAAGCAGTAACTCGTCATAACCATCGCAACAGTCGTAACAGCCGTAACAGTCGCAACAGTAGTAACAGCAGTAACATCGCAACAGTAATACCAGTAGTGCCAGTCGTCACTCCAATAGTACCAGTAGTGCCAGTAGGTGCACTGGTAACACTAGCCAGTACCACTAGGATCACCAGGAACATCAGGAACACCAAGAACACTAGGAACACTAGAAACATGAGGAACACTAGGAACACTAGGAAAACCGGGAAGACCGGGAACACTAGGAACACTAGGAACACTAGGAACACTAGGAACACTAGGAACACTAGGAACACCAGGAACACAAGTAACACCAGGAACACAAGTAACACCAGTAACACTAGGAACAGGAGGAACACTAGTAAAACCAGTACCGCTAGGAACAGTGGGAACAATAGCAGCAGTAGCAACAGAACAGCGGCAGCAGCAGCGGCAGCAGCAGTAGCAGCAGCAGTAGCAGCAGCATCAGCAGCAGCAGCGGCAGCGGCAGCGGCAGCAGCAGCAGAGGGGGCAGCGGCAGCGGCAGCGGCAGCGGCAGCGGCAGCGGCAGCGGCAGCGGCAGCGGAGGGGGCGGCGGCAGCAGCAGCAACAGCAGCAGCTGCTGCTTAAAGACGTCGAAGATAAAAAGCATCTTCTGTTTTGGGACACGCTTTGTCCCATTTTGCTTTTAGCTCGTGGTGCATCACACTGTGCAGGACCTGGAATCAAAGCGTGTTGCTTTGTTAAGCAGTATGTCTGCTGCCGTGGCTGGCAATGCTCGCGTGGTGTCGATTCTGGGTGCCCGCAGTTGTTGTTTTTTTTTGAAGTTTGCGAGAACCTGCTAGCATGATGTGCATGTATTTTCTTTCTGGCATAACTCAGTTGCCCATTTTCAGTTCGCAGTAGCGAGTTGACAATGCACTTCGCTGACACAAGCTAATCAGACCGGATCGGTGCTAATGAGACCGGAACGGTGCAGTTTGTGGCAAGGTGCTTTGTATGGGATTTCGGCTTTGCTGCTACATGCAATCTTGCTGAGCATCCGTGTCTTGGCAACCCAAGCATCATTCCAGCATTTGGTTTTTTGTGTGTACGCCGATGGATAATTGTCAGATCTGCGCTGTCAAGGAAGCACTCAGTTCGCCATTCGCCTGAGAAGGACAAGACTGGCTTGGAATGTATAGAGTTTCACCAGGCAAAGCAGGGTCAACCCTTGCAACGTTTCATGACGTTGAGCAGTCCTCCAAGGCCCCTGCAGGCCCTTTTGTGATGCACAGCCATCACACCTAGACTTTGAGGTTTTTGGCTGGCACCAGCTCAGCACAAGTTCAGGGCCTGCTGCAGTTCTTGAGGCATACCAAAGTGCGCTTGAACGTATTGCGACAATAAGGCCAATAAGGTGTGCCGAAGCGAAACCTGATCGAGCTGAGGCAGACAGTCTTTGCCGCAGTCTCTGCAGCCTTGGGCATCAGCTGGTCGTGGGGCCGCCCAGAAGCGTCACAAAGCATTGCCATACATCTTGTTGGTGTGGGGCACAAACCCGCACGTGCCATACTGTTTAGATGTTAACAAGTATGATGGCGTCATTCCTCCCGGCATTCAGCTACGAAAGCTGTTTCTGCTTTGCTGCAGCTTGCAATGTTGCAGGAATGTTTCCCTGCCTTGACCTAGGCTCTTACCTTGACTTTCGCAGATTGCAAGGAACTCCGGCACTTGGGAGGTTGGTTCCTGAAACAAGAACGCATCAAATGGCGATATTTGCTTGGCACTGGCACCCCTTTTCACTGCCGACGTGTGTCCTTGAAAGAGTCGCTGGGCAAAAAGGTGGAAGCAGCTCCGCTGAGTGTCCGGGCCAGAGACCAAGATCCAGGGCAAAATGTAGGGTTCTGGACGATGTTTAACATGTTTAAACAAGGAGAAGTCAATGTCGCCTGCTGCGTCAGTAAAATTCCAATCGTGGTTGACAGCAGGCGGATGCTGCTTGCCGGGCCTTCATGCCCTGAGAGAACTGAAGGCCGTGCGCTCAGTGCTCGGCAGGATGGGTGCAGGATGGGAACTACGAGTAACCAGTGATGAAGCATGTACTTGCTGCATCAGAAGTTCGCAAGGTGGATGCAGATGCTTGTGTCAGCTCAAAACTCAGTCTCTTTGGCAGAAGCTTGTACATGGAGGAGGGGGGGAGAACCTGCCGGGAAAGCCGGGAAGCCACCATCACCTTCAAATAGGACTGCCCAGGCTTGGCCTCCGTGGATATTCTCTCAGAGGAGATGCAGGTGCCTACTGCTTGAGAACAAGCGCCTAGGTGAGCTCATGAATATTCTGGCTTGCTGGTGTGATTCGCCAAGGTTGTTCACATCCGGAAATCAACAACTCTAAAAGCTCCATTCTTCTGGTAGTCGCAAAGCTGACATTGACAGAGGTAGAGCGTCACGATTTTGTCCTTTGAAGTCCATGACACGCAAACACCTTGTCACATTTTTCACACATTGCAGTATCGCGTGTTCCTCGGGGTCACGATTTGGGGGGGGGGGGGGGGGGTGGGGGGGGGGGGGTGGGGGGGAGGGGGGTGGGGGGGAGGGGGTGGGGGGGGGGGGGAGGGGGGGTGGGGGGGGGGGGGGGGGGGGGGGGGGGGGGGGGGGGGAGGGGGGTGGGGGGGAGGGGGGGGTGGGGGGGAGGGGGGTGGGGGGGAGGGGGGTGGGGGGGAGGGGGGGTGGGGGGGAGGGGGGTGGGGGGGAGGGGGGGGTGGGGGGAGGGGGGTGGGGGGGGGGGGGTGGGGGGGGGGGGGGGGGGGGGGCGGCCCTGGTTCCCGTGTGTGGTACCCTGACAAGGCGGGGGTTCGTTCGGCTTCCCCCCACGCCCCACGAATGAAACGGTTCGCCCCCCCCCGCCCCTTCGCCCCACGAAGGGAAATAAAGAAAGAAGGAAAGAAAGAACAAACACAAGAAAAAAAAAGAGCCGCTAAAGAATGAAAGAAAACACAGAACAAAGAAAGAAACATAAAGAACAATAACGAACAATCAGGCAAAGAAATAAAAGAGAAAAAGAAAGAACAAAGACAACACAAATGAAAAGAAAAAAACTAGAAATCAAACAAAGACACATAAAGAAAACTACAGAAAATGAAAGAAAAAGAAACAAAGAAACTAAAAAGCAAATACAAGTATATAAATAAGTATGGAAAGAAAGAAGCAAAGATAGAAATAAAGACGAAATGAATCGATAAACGAAATACAGTCATAGGCAGTTTTGGGGTTCACTTTTCAGCTTGCGCGGGGCTTGGCCAGGCAAGGGGGTGGGAGGGGTGGTGCTACACAGCACCTTGGCTTCATTTGGCTTGTCTAGCCGCAGGGTGAGGCCTTCTGTGTGCTGCCCGCTGTGCCCCAAAAACAGGGGCGTGCGTACTGCTGCGCTGAGTTCGGTCTTCAGGCCCCGGAAAGAAAGAGAAAACACATGCAGAATTTACATAGTACGGTAGATACCCAAAGACGGGGCAAACCAAGACATACAGGAACTGCTTTGCCAACGTCCGGAACCTCAAGCGTGCAGAAGAAGACAAGTGCACAAATCAGAACAGCAACGATTCAACGATTCAGCAACAGCTTTTTGGATCCTATGAGGCGCCGGAGTCTCTGGTCAAGCTTTAATCCAAGTCTTGTCAGTGTTTTTACGGAATAGTGCTGAGTATTGTACGTCAGTATTTGAGGCTATGCTACGTGCACTAGGTTTTTGCCTTTGCAGGCGCTGACCAGCGTACAGCTGCGCTTTGCTGATTGCACCATGCTCACCTCTCTGGAGGAACTGACAAGGCCTTGACCAAATTCATGCAAAGCGCTTCTTACGACATGGCAGGCATCGCGATGCCAGCAGATCGAGTTTTCTACGTAGAAAGAAGCATGCCGGACTCGAGGCCATTGGGCACACTGACAGAAATCTCAGCAGTTCACCCGGTCTTTGATTACAGTTGGCCAGGTGCCCTTGCAGCAAGCACTATTTTGCTGAGTCTGCTCCTCGCTCAGGTCTTGGAGATTTGCTTAGCCGGCTGCGTGGCCCTCCGGACGCTGCATGCGTACTGCTTTGCTGCGCTACGCAAAGATACGCAAAGCTCTGATGTAGATCTCGTGGTGCAACATGTCGTGCTGTAGCTGCGAGCTTGGTGCAGGAGTTTGGGGCAACTTGGCGCGCATCTTCACAAGCTGTCCGTGGGATCCTCAGGAGCCACTCTTTCGCCGATTGTTGGCCTTTGATGCACTTGGTTTCATGTGCCGTGCTGATGTAAGGCGTTGTCAAAGCTGCGGCTGAACCTGTTTCGGCCTTACTCTATCTCGGTGGTGTGGAAGTGGAGGCTCAACCTAGTGCTGGAAATCGAAAGCCATAGTGGCATCCTCCCAAGGTCCTCCTGTGAGGCTCTTGGCAGTGAGGCGCAAGTGTTTGGCTGGTTCTTTCGTCAGTTTGGGTCCGTCGGGGGAGGGGGGAGCCGAATCCCACCGTGGCATGATGAAAGGTTCTTCAGAAGATTCTGTTATTAAGATTCGAGTCTTTGCTTTTAAGACTCGGTTGAGGCCCGCCTCAGCTTGCAGAGATGCACAGAGGCGCTTTCCAGCGTCGGGTGCTTTGATGGAGTTTGCATGTAGATTGGAGCTGACATCAACTTCGAGATTGTGGCTTCGAGCTATGCTTGTATGCTAAGGCTGTGGATGTTTGGGTTGTCGGTTCTCCTGGTCTCTGCCTCGGATGATGCTTCGTTGTGAAAAGCTTGCGCTGCACTCCTGAGAGTGTGCCGCAGAGTATCTCTAGAGCAGCAGAGAATACTGCAGACTGCAGTGTCCCTTCGAGAATCCTGCGCAGAATAGACAGGTAGGAGATCACAGCTCCCCGCGTCGAGACAACTGGGAACGATACGCTTTTCGGACTTCTACTGTCATGAGAAATCCGAACGTCCCAGATGCCTTCCCAGCTAAAGCTGTTTGGGGAATAATGTTTGATTCAGGTAAGCTTGGTTCTAGAGGGGAGAACCCAGTAATTCCGGTCCCCCGGTCTAGATGATTTCAAGGGCATCCAATGGGGGGCCGGTCGGATGCTTCACCACTGGCTGCCCGCGCTGGTACGTGGTGGTAACTGTGGTGGTGGTGGTGGTGGTGGTGGTGGTGGTGGTGGTGGCGGCGGCAGCGTGAGAATGTTTAGTGACGGCAGCGTCTTGCGGTGCATGGTGGTGGCTGAGGCGACTCTGGTGGTTCGAGCCGCCTACCACTGTGATGCAGCTTTGTATGCAGTAAAACAGTAAAATGCTTCCGTCGTCCTACGTCTTTATTACAATTTGCCTTGACCTCTGCTTCTTGTTCACCCGGCTTCATAGAACATAAGTTCAGCTTCATCCCTCTGCAGATCCTTTTTCCCGAAAGATGCTTTCCTCATCAAAAGCCTGGATGAGGCTCGCTAACCTTTCTCTCGCCCAGGATTGCCTGTCATCTTGTACGCGGGTTTCACGTGCTGTGTGGCTGACTTGGTGCAATGAAAGACCTCTCGAGTTTCACGAAGTCTTTTTCGCGTGGGTCCAGTGATGCAAACTGGCACGCCTAAAAACGTGACCCAGCTGGCAACATAATTCGATCCCAGGCAAATGCCTGGGCAGGCGTTCCGCAGCAACTTTCAGTGAGGTGCTGGTGTCCAGAGAATGGCTGGCAGTTCGAATGAAAGTCTGTGAGAGTCAGCCCCTGAAAACTGCATGCGACTAGGAGGGAGCCTGGCATGCACAAGACTGTCAATGACCCAGGATATCGACAATACATAGTGTACAGAGCAGTTGGGAAGTTTGCCCGTGACTGCAGCCACGTGACAGATCGCCGTTTGCACCCGCACGAAAAACAAGTTCAGTTCATTGCTGCTGTGTGCTCTGATCTGCTCAAGTGCCTTTTTGCCTTATACCTCCAGCATAGCGACACTCACATCTTCGCAGGCCTTCATGAGAGGCAACCACATTTTTACCCTGAGGAGGGTTTCAGAGGTTCCTCAGTCAATGTACCCCTAGAATTGGCAAAATTGAGGTGAGTTGTGATCCCATGCGAATAGTAGTACTTGCACAATGGTAAACAAGTCTGGCAAACTCGGAACTGCAGTCCATGGCCTACCAGCACGGCCAAAGCAATTTACAACGCCATCCTGTATTCTCCACTCCCGAACGGGATCGCCCGCGTAGCTGGCCATGTCAATCTCCAGTTGTGCAGGTCCTTTCGTCTAAGTGGGCCTCTTGTGCTGACAGGCAGTCTTGAAGAATCGTTCGCAAAGAGAACGGGCTTGTTGGTTCGGGCTTTATTTGCCAAGAGTCATGCGGATGTCAATGCAACGAGGCGACGCTAAACCCTAAGCGCTAAATCCGTGAGATGCTTCCTGCAGTGCGACGTTTACATTCACCTAGGCAGGTGGCCAAAAATCCCTGAAACTCTTAAACCCTAAGCCTAAAAACCGTCCTATCCTCGAATTGGCTAGCTTGCCGAGCTTTCCCCTCGCAGCTTCTGCACAAGAAGGCATGGCTCCAAACAACATGCGCACATGCATTTCACAGGCAAGTCTTGCTGAAGAATGTGGCACGCACAAACCGACCTCTAGACTCTGGACCTCCTCAACCTTTCATACCCGTATAGATACTCTCGCCACCTCTTGCCTGTCACGTTCACCTCTTCTCAGCAGATACCACACGTCTGAGCCAGTAAGCAACATGAGCCATTGCGAATGTGTGTGTGTGTGTGTGCGCGCGTGTCTTGTTCTAGGTTCTGTGAGTCCTGCCATGCCGTCCGGAACCAGTGCTGGAGAAGGCCTTCTCGTTTTTACGGTTTGCAACCAGGGGCTAGATGAAACGGGTGTCCGACCTTGCTGCCGGAGAAGAGGGTGCGGCGTAGAAGCTTGTTCTGTCACTCACTGCAAGGCTTCAGCTGCATCAGAAAGACGGAGAGAGAGAGAGAGAGAGGAAACCAAAAACAAATGATAGAAAGAGAGAAGTAAGCAATATCAAGAGATCATAGGAAGAGGAAGATCGCGAGAGCGCTCATGCTCGTGTGTTCTTGGCTCAGCAAGCAGAGATGCCCTGGCCCTGTGTGCACCGAACGGTGGGGGGCCTCCTATGGCATCGGCCCCCTCGGAGGCAGATTTGTCCATTGCAGTTTTAGCTGTGTCAGTGCTCTGTCTTGTTCATGCTTGTTCATGCTGCCGACTGTTCCTGTATTCATAGAATAGCAGAGTTCTCGAAGCGCCTTAGACTAGTGTACCTGTCGAGAGCATCTTCAGGATGGAGCGGAAAGTGGCCCCAGCACAATTGCAGAACACCTCCTTTCTGCACTGGAAGCGGTGTGTTGACTGCACTCAGTCCCTGCCTTGTGGTGTCGCTTCGAGGTTCTGGCTGTCGCTTGTCAGGGGATCTGCATCTGAGGAAGAACGGCTGCAAGCATACCTTGCTGGGACTTCCAAGGACAGAAGTTGCAGGTCCTTTCCCCAAGGTCCCTTCTTCCGGAGATAACAAGATCTTGTCGCGAGCATGCAGAAAGCAGGGTCCCAGCCAGCAAGGGTTTGTAAGATTGTGGTAGAGGCCGATGCTGTTGCAATGGGATTGAGCTACCCATTCACACACAGCATACCAGCTTTAACACACAATGTTTGCGGCAAAGTAAATGTCAGCGCTGCAGCCTTGTTTTCAACAAGACCCGTAGCTTAAGCGCTAGTTGAAGCAGGTGTCGGCATGAAATTTCTCTGCTTCTGTTTCCCCTCTTTCCTGGAGGACGACATTCTCGACCAGCTGCAGCTCCTCGTAGAGCTGGCAGGCGAAGATGCCTGCACAAAGTGGCATCCTGAGACGGAGTTTGTGATTTCTGCCGTGTCGTCTCGCAGCATCTGGGGCATGTCCTCGTCCTTCGACATGACCTGCTGACACAAGTCTTTCAACAAAAGCTAGGTTCCCCCTGTGCTTGTGACGGTGAGCAGTCTTTTTGCAGCAAGGTCACATGGGGCAGATGTTCTCGGTGAAAGCACCGTCGAAGGTCTCGTGGATCTAGTTGCATCAATTGCAGAGATCCTTGGCTTCAGTGATTAATGTGGTTTGCTGTGCAGGCCACCCGATGCACAGCTAGGTAGGCCGTCAGATGTCAATGCCGCGACGGTATGACGCATGGACCAAGGGACTCAGAAGCCAGCGAGGCAGATGTCCTCTTGGAGGCATTGTCATTGCTCCGCACCGACCTGCGGGAGGAGCATCAGCAGGTAGCAGGTGTTGCACGTGTTGATTTCAGGGATTCCCGGAGTGGCAAGGGCGAGGGAAGACGGGGTCATTTCACTTGATACATCCTCCTTCTTGAGATGGATGTTGCATGATATGGCCTCTGTTGCTTACACATGAGGTCCCCTGGAAATGAAAGCCGCCCACCATGAAAATGCACGTAAGATGAGTAATGTCGATAAGCGCATGACTGAAAAACGCATAGCATTTTGTCAAAAAAAAATTACAGACTGGTACATTGTTAAGTCTTATGCTGTCCGAATCTCTTCATTTGCTTCAGACGCTAGAAATAATATGAAAAAATGACCCTTCAACAAAATGTAAAAAAAAAGGAGCTATGAGCCAACCTTGTCTACCACATGTTAAAGACGCTAATGAAACAGGCTTAGGAACTCCGTATTTATTGTTTGGAGGAATCTTCGGAATCACTGACAAATTGATACCAGTCCTTCATAACAGAAGAACTTTGTTTGGAATAATTGGATATTATTCTTCAAGAAACTCCAGAAGCGGTATAACGCAGAATCAATAATTTTATCGCTAACGCGAGGCCGCCTCGGCAAGGGTACCGAGGCGGCAGGAAGGGGTAGTGGGGGTGTGCCCGTCGCGCAACAAGCGCAGGTTTTTTTTTTGGGGGGGGGAAGGGGAATGGGGGGAAGGGGGGTTAGCCTCAGCCGGCATGTGTCGGACAACAAGCTGTCGCTTCACCTGTGTTGCTTGTTCCTTGCCAGCTGTGTACAGGTTCGGTTTGAGGTGTAAAGTTGAAAGCTTTGGGCGGGCTCCGAGATTTGGCTTTGCACGGTGTCAGGGTGGGAGGGGGAAGGTGGGGGTGGGGGGGTGGGGGGATGGGATGGGATGAGGGGGGTGGGATGGGGGGGGGCTTATTCGGGCTTAGGGTACGGATTGGGGCTTCTTAGGGCCTAGGGCTTGGCTTAGGCTGAGCTTTGGGCTCAGGGCTTAGGGCTTCGGGTTAGGGCTTGGGGTTTCGTGCTCGTAGTAGCTCTGGGGCGGGGGTGGGGGGGTTCTCGCATCCGCCCCCTATCCTTTGGCCCAAATCCCACCTGGTCCGGGCACGGCCGCGACTGGATAAAGGTTGACTACGAGGACTACCCATTCTGGGCCAAAAAAACTCGGCCGCCATGTTGGCTGGCCGACCCAGTGGTTCCCTAGACTTGGATCTAAACGCCTCAGGCCTCCGGCCTCGGCGGACTTCTCTTTCTAATTTCAAGCTGTCTAGTGTCACAGAATTGGGCAACAGTTCTGCATGCAACATTTGGTTATCTGACATTGAAAGCCAACCCACAGCTTCTTCGGTAAACTAGGTTTCAAGAGCCAAATCATGACTGGGCCCACTTGGATGCTATTGCCACGGCTTTAGAGTACGGACACTGCTCATCGCGATGATAAAAGCACGACGTCCCCCTTAGCAAGCGCCAAGTGCCCTTGGGTTTGTGCTGCGGGCCTATGAACGTTAGGAAATAAACAGGTTTGACGGAAGCACTGGCTTCAAGGCCACTCTCAACCAGCCAGAAGTACACATGGTCCCGAGATTTTGAATTCGCAGGACGCGCATGTGCAGCAGCTGTTGGCAGAGATTCAGGGTGCCGAGCAAGGCGGAAGCCGCATGTTTGGGGCTCTGACTGCCATTCCAAGTTTTGAGCCAATTCGTAGTGAAGCGGGTTGCAAGCATCCCGATATTCGTGTGAAGTCGTGCGCACCCTGCCAGTTTCTGCCCAAGCAGGCAGCGGCAGGTCTCAGGACGTGAGTTGAAAGGTCTCGTCCCCGCTGCTTCACCTCCTGGGAAGATTGTGGCTCCATGCGAAGATGGCTTAATTGTGGCATATGTGAGATATGTGGGATATGTCCCAGAGACATTTTGTGATATGAGCTGTGGTCAATTTCAAGCGCCGGGTTTCTTGGCCCCTCTTGTGCGTACTTGCCAGGTGGCAGCACACCATCGTCTGTCGTTGGTCAAGGCGTGACTGGCGATGAAGTCATCACTGGATATTTAGACGTGCTTCTAGTCGGCATTCATATGCATTCATGTTCTCAGGATTCCGGGTGTACTTGTTTCCCTGTGGTGTTGCAGTGATACTTGGGTTTTGGCCGATCAAGCCAAGGATGGTAATGGAGCCAGAACAGGTGCGCGGGTGGTTGAAGGGCCAGCCAGCACAGAACGCATTCGATCACCTAGAGTCCTGGTGTGTCCAAGTTTTGCCTGGTTGCATCGAGCGCCGGTCATTGGCTCAGAAGTCAACTTTGTCTGGCAGGCTCGAGAATTGCAAGATGCGTGGGTCATGTTCATGGAGAGCTTCAGCTCACGTGACGTCGCATGTGACACCTTGTTTGTTCCCTGGCAAAAACCCATCGATTCTGTGCTGGAGCTTGAACAAGAATGTTCTTCAAGTTCAGGGTGCGTCTTCACTTGGCGTGATTGCGAACTGGGAGCGATCTGACATCGCACTGAGCTCATCACAAACAGGTGCTCTTCTTGTCTTGGGCTCTCCGTTCCATCATTACCTTCTAGCTCTCCTTCTTCCCCCGAATCTCGGCGCTCTTGTTTGCCAGTCCCTGTCGCCACGAGAGTTGTTTGCCTGCCCGCTCTGTCTTTGACAGATCTGTGTCAATCTGTTTCTGTTTCGCTGCCTTTCTCTGACACTCTCGATCTCTATCTGTCTCTGCCTTTCTCGTTCCCAATCTTTCCGTGGTTGTTTGTGTTTGTAAGTTCTCCGGCGCCTATGCCGGAACGAAGCTGCAACGCCGATCATTGCATTTCTCGGCATGAGACCATGCAAGAATACAAGACATGGATGTTCTGGATGAGGTTGCCTTCTATGATGCAGCTCCATCTCTGCAGTCCCTCTTCAAAACCTCGCGGGCAATTATGTCCGGCAGGCCCAGTCCGGTTTGGGGTTTGCCCTTGGCCTAGGCTAGGCTAAATCGATGTCGCCACGGGGGTCATGTGGGATTTGTGATGTGCGAGTGGCAGGCTTACCTCAGGCATTGAGAGCATTGTCATGGCGTTGCCGAACGGCAAGGAAGTCAAAGGTCTGGTAGAAGCTCTAGGCGCGGACTCTCCCCTTTGCTTTTGCCTCTCCTGCCTCTCTGGTGCTGTGCATGTCGTGACCTGCTCTACGGCAGGTTTCAAGCACCTCGAAATTGAGGTGACATCGCCGCGAATTGCGGTGTTCAGGGAAGCCATATTGGAAGCCTTTACTGCAGAGCACTTGGAAAGCAAGCAGGTCCATCTAAGCGTTGTTGGGGCAAGCCAACTCTCCCAGTGACCAGATTCCCTTGACCAACAGTGTTGGCCACAGGAGTATTTGTTTTCTGGACCTTCCAAGATCTAGCCAAGTGAAACTTCAGGGTGCGTGGTCATGTGCAACACATGTTCATGAGTCATGTAGTTGCCACTCAGTCTTTCATTTCATGCCACTTTAGTCTGATCTTGAAATCGGCCCCATAGTATCGTGAAAAGGAGGACGTGCTTGCTGCTCAGGCTGGGCGACCGTTTCACTACGCTTGCCTATGAAGGACTGCGTAAGACATTGAACTATGCTGGCGGCGGGTGCGTCTATTTGCGTGAAACCTTCGCGGCATCCCGGCATCACCAAGCTTTGTCGACCTCCGCAGTATTGCCATAATGCTGCACTTGGAATGCGATTCTGGTCCATGGGGGCCAAGGAAAGATTGCAAATTCTGGCTTCGAGCTGGAGAACTGCCAGCGCTGACGGGCAAGTCCTGGATGAAGAATGGGATGAGGATTTTGTACAAGCAGACTCCGAGACCAGGCTTTAACAGTCACTGTCGAGTGATAGAGAGGGAGCGAGAGAAAAAAACAAGCAAAATCAGTTCGTACATGCAGTGTGTTTTCCACGCGTATACAGAGCCACCCAGCTCAGGCAAGAGGATCTGGCTCGCAAGCAACATCGCAGTCACAGCAGTCGCAGCTGGAGACGTCGCAGACTGCAGTCGAGGTACAGCCTGCCACAGGGGAGGACACCCAGCATGAGAACCCAAACAAGATCAGCATGCAGGGTGTCACTCGTTCTTGAACGATATTGTTGCCTGTTGTTGTGCAAACACAGACATGCGACATCCTCACCTGCGCTACTCTTCTTGCATGAGGTCCCTACGAGCTTCAACGAGATGTTCCGCTTTAACGCTGCTGTCATGGGAATGGCAGACAGAGAGTGGATGTACGAGGTCCTCGACTGCTTTGATGCCATCGTTCGGAATGTTGCGAACACTTTCCGATTGCAGGACCCTGCCTGGACTGTGCTCATATGTTCTGCAAGGGATTTCCCACCCAACACGAACAGCGGTTGACATTTGCAACTGCAATTGCTTCTGCTGCTCCTACGGTACTTCTCCTCCTCCTACGACCACCACTTCCAATTCCAACGTGTTGCAACTACAACCGCAACCAAAACAACAACGGCCGCAGCAGCAACAGCATGTTACAGCCGATGCAACAGGTACTCGTAATACCTCGTCCACTCTTTTCACATCTGACAGACGAAGGGGACGGAATGTTTCAGGATGCCTGAGTCGCCCGCGGCACAGTAGAACTCAGGCCCTAAAGTTGGTTTGAGGTGCTGGAATGGCAGTGTTTCTGAAGTGATTACCGCAGTCTGGAAACATGTTGGCCTTCATCCCTGCAATTGTTCGGGCTCTTGTCTCGAAGTTGAGGGGCTTTGAACATCCAGTGTCTTAGCACCCAAGCTGCTCGTTCTTGACAATGGAGGAAGAGTGTGACGTGCTCTCCCTGCGGTTCGCCAAGGTACCAGGCAGGGGGGTTGCCCTTTTCGCAAGCCCAGTTGCCGTTTCTGGCTGGTGGAATTGAAGGAGTTGCAGAGGGGAGACTTCTCCGCAGGACCACGTAAGAGAATCTCACGAAATGAGATGAATTTGTTTGCAGAGACGAAAGATGGAACTGGACAAACCTCATTTGACCAACATGGTCATGCCAACCAGAGATGGCCAGAGCACCGCTTTGCACTATTGGCCCCAAAGTTTTGCTCGACACCTGCTTTCGGCTTCGATTTACTGATGGCCTGTTTCAAGTAACTTTCCACCTGAAATGCTCCAAGCAGTTGCAGGTGTTGTACTTGCGCTAAGTAGAACTCATGGCACCGCCATGCTGCTGGACAGGGTTGGCAGTGCTGGTTGTAATCGTCGTGGCTTAGGAGCAAGAGCTGAAGCACCGTCAAGAATCGCAGCAAACCTCAGTATGCGGCAGCTCCGTATTTGTTGCAAGCTTCTTCCCGGATGTGCACAAGCTCATTGCTAGATGAGGCATGCAATGACTTGTGCATGGACCTACTCTAACTCAAGAGTGGGACAGCGATTTCCTGTCTACACCCCGAGAAGGGTCCGTTTTCCAGCTGAAACTAGTCATTGCCAAAAGTTATTACACCTGCTGTATTGCAGGCGGATAAGGGTTGAAGCACCAAGTGCATTAACATTTGCTTGTGCTGTCAGGCTAGGGCAGGCATGGTGCAGCACACATAAACAGGCGCGACATCAGGCACCGACGATCTTGGCTCAGGCCAAGGGAGTCGTGCCAGCAGAACTCTTTTCTCCCTCCCTGGCCCACCCTGGTTTCTGACCGCGTATGGGGGGGACGGCAGCTGTGCGCCGCAGGGGGATGCTAGTACGTTGAGACTGGATAGCGCAAGGGTGCGTAGGCATGTGCATGGGGTGAGTCACACTCCTGATGCTATCATGTCTGTGTTCTATTATCAGCTGCCAACTTTTGCCTTAATTCTGCCAAACCAAATCTGCATGCAGTCGCCGATATGTTTATGAAGGAACCTGCCGTGTACAAGCAAGTGAAATGTGGTATGTGGATGTATGTGGTATGGTGTCATGTGGATGGCATGCTCTCCTCGCGTGGAGCAGAGATACATTGCAGTGCGACGTTCCGTCTGCGTTTAGAGTGGAGAGATGACGTGAGAGAGTGAAACCACACTGGCGTGAGAGAGCGAAAGAATCACGTCACATTCTGCAGTTTTGCAGTGTTGTTGTGTGAGCGAGGTGGCATGCAGGACAGCATGCTGCTTGAAAACATGAACGGGCATGCAGTCATGTTTGAAGTGGCTTTCGAAGCCACCTGTGAGAAAATGCACGGGCATGCTGCTCTTTCTTCGGCCATGTGGGCCATGCATTTCTCACTTTGCAAGTACATCAATACGAGCTAGCCCTGCCAACGTATGGTGGATGAAATTATGTGGCACAGCGTCATTTTTGCCGGCCATATTTGTCGGTATAAGATATCAAGCGTGCGCGCAGTGCGAGAAACATGTCGGCGCAATGTTCTGAGCGGCAGTGTGGTCGATCTTTGCTTCTCGTGATTTGTTGCGTTGTTTTCCGGCACTGCTCCTCGTGGGCTCATCTTTCGACCGTGTCTAGCTTTGGCATCCTTGCTTTTCCGGCCCGAGAGAGAGAGAGAGAGAGAGAGTCCTAGAACATGCCCAAAATTCCAGTCAGTTTCCGAGCCCATGCATCATTACATGCCGGTCGCAGGCAGATAGAGTTCTTTTTCATCGCATCGAACTGCCTGGAAAGGTGTTGTCATCCTTGTCGAGTTCAAAGCTGTAATGCTGGCGTCTTTGAGATCACTGGTGCCCCAGGACCGGTCTCGAATTGCTTAAGGGCGTTTCGAGCACGATTTGTACACACATGGCTCAAGGCCACGGCTGGAGGTGGTTTTTTTGAGACCATTGAAATGAACAACTTTTCATGCCGGGTATGAAAGCTGCATTGCGGTTTTTAGAGTTGATTTGGTGTTGACGTGTGTTCATAGTGCGCAGTGAGAGGGTTGACAAATTTTTTCAAAACCATGTCGATACCGAACTGAAGCAGCACTGACTTTGTTTTCTGAAGCTCTCTCGCAAAATCGAAGCAGACACTTTCTCTCTCTCGCTCTGCTTCTCCCCAGGATTGGAATACCAAGCATGAAGAGGCCTGGGATTGGCTCTGGAGCAACGTGGAGAAGATGCTGGGAAAAGAGATTGGGAAAGCAGCGGACAGAGCACCGTGGCCTTATGGGAGTCCTTCGTTTTGGGCCCTGTTGTTTCCTGTTAGAAAGTGGGTACAATGGTAGATGTGAGCCACCTAGCACATTTCATGGCAGGAGCGACGTGTGTCTCGGTACGTCGGGTCGATGGAAGATGAGACAAAGTGCACGTTGAGCAAAAAGATCTACACCAAGTTCTTCACAGTAGCACCCTGTCCTACTGCTTGGCCATTTTTCGGTCTTACGCCAAGAGTAACTGCAGGATGAATTGGTTCCATGGAACGGCGAAGCTGTTGAGGAGATTGAAGCCTATCGTCAGAGTCACCAGCAAAATCTGAGGCTCCTGAGGGACAGAACTACTTCAAGCAATCCTCTACAAGGCTGCAGTTCATCATCGATCGAGTCGTTGAGATGACTTTGTCCATGTACCAGTCTCCCTGCCGAGCCTTGGTGCATCTGCAACCATCTTATCAGCTCGAACCCCGATTTTGGCCGGCTCCCATTGCAGAGAAAGCAAGCCCCTCCGGGGGTCATGCAGAAGAAGAAGAAGAAGAAGAAGAAGAAGAAGAAGAAGAAGAAGAAGAAGAAGAAGAAGAAGAAGAAGAAGAAGAAGAAGAAGAAGAAGAAGAAGAAGAGTAATGCTCCTTTTTTTCTTTGTCACCCCCCCTCTCTCTCTGTTTGTCTCTCTCCTTCTCTCTCCTTCACTCTCACTCTGTCTTCTTGTGGCTTGAGAGCACCAGGGCTCCCCTCACGCGCAGGGCGCACCCAAAGTCCCAGTCTTCGCGAAACTTAAGAGCAGGAACTTCCCATGTCCGGACAGAAACAACTAACCCTTCACGGTATAGGGCTATACAGTCGTTCTTCGAGCCCGTTGGCTCCTGGGTGGGTTCTGCCGATCCAGTTTCGAGGTTTGTGCGAGAAGGTCCCTAGGGTCCCCGATCGACCCCACCTGCAACACCAGTGGCCTGGGGATCTTCAGGTTGAGAGCGGGCGTAGGGGTTCGGGTCGAGGTTTAGGTCTCACGGTTAGAAGACAAGCCCAACAAAACCATCCTTAACACAGCCACCGGCGTAGTTGCGAAACCCACTGCGTGTTTGTGATGC